CAAAAATGGCTCCCAGGCAATTGCTGTCTTCCCACGGGAGGACTCTGTACTCACTGCGAGCTAGTGCAGTCTTCTACATTCCCCACTTCCCTCCACTGCCATGTCTGTCTGCAGAGGCTTCCAGGGTTGCCAGCTGTCACTATCACTGTGACCTTGTGTCCCCAGGTTTGAACAGCTGCTCTTGCGCAGTGAGTCCTGTCTCAGGGCAAAGGTACCATTGGTTACCACTGCCTTCCTTCAAGCTTTTTTTTTTTTTTTTTTTTTTTTTTTAACTCTCTCTGTGAGCTTCAATTCATACTTAAGATTCTTCCTGGGTCGGGGCACTCTCTTTCTTTCTTCCTTTTTTTTTTTGGTATGGGGATCTAACTCACGACTGCCTGCTTGCAAGGCAGGTACTTATGCTGCTGAGCTAAATCCCCAGCCCCTCAGGGTACTCACTTTCTTCCTTCTTGTCTTTCTCATGATTTTATATTCCAGAGATGGTGACTCTAAAAAACGCTGTTTTCTCTGCTGTTTACTGCTCCGCCATCTTCCCAGAAATCTCTGAAAAGACAGTTGTACAACACCCCTGTTCTTTTTTCTTTTTTCTCCAAATAAACTATATTCAACTTTAGAACAATAATGCTTTGGCCTAAGGTGGGCCTTTCAGAAATAGATTGAGGGCTGAGGATATAGTTCAGTAGCACAAGTGCCTGTCTGGTAGGCACAAGGTCCTGAGTTCAATTCCCAGTACCAAAAAAAGGGAAGTGATTGGTTGATAATATTGATACTGAATCATTAGGTTTCTTCCTCCCTCAGAACTAAACATTTCTGACGATGATAAGAACTCTTTGTTGGCTCAATAATGTATTGATTTGTACCACATTGCTACATTTTGTACACATTAGATAGGAGACATGATAGTTCACATTTAGAAGGATTAAATATGAAAGGAATTGTTTTTACACTAATAGCAGTTCAAGATACTTTTTGCATATTAAGAAATTAATAGAACAGAATGATTAACTGTGAGTCATTTGATTTTTAAGATGTTGGTGGGCCACTTAAGGAAAATAGCAGTCACACTACTTATTTTAGAGAGAATTTTGTTGTTGTTTTTGAGACAGGGTCTGTCTGTGTAGTTCACCTGATCTTGAACTCACCGAGAATGAATTTGGTATAGGACATTGATTATGTAGAAGACTGAAAATCGAAAAAGCACATTGAGAAAGAGGTTGTAATATCAGAACCTTGGAGCTGAGAGAAGAGGCTCCGTGGAGCTAGTGCCTGTACTTCTCGCAGATGGGTGAGTTGGTTTTAAGTAGACAGAAAACAAAACTAGAGCCTGGTACTAGCTGCTTGGGCAGTGCTGATAAAAGTAAGAAACAAATCTCCACTTCCCTCTTTCACGAAGTGACTTCCAGTACATACTGTAGCAGTGTAACGTATCAGGAAGCCAGCTCACCAAAAAGAAAGGTAGTTTGTAGAGTTCTACCTCAGCATTACAAACAGATTAAAAAAATTGGCCGTGGGTTCAGCCTGCTTGCTTAAATATGTATGTATGTGTATATGTATTTATGGTAGTACTGGAGATTGAGTACAAGACAGTATCTCCAGCCCTTTTTTAAAGTTTTGAGATAGCATCTTACTAAGTCATTACATTGCCCAGGATGGGCAGGAATTTGCAGTCCTTCTGCCTCAGCCTCCCAACGGGTTTAGATTAGAGGTATATATACTAACTAGCTTGCTTACCTTTTAGTGGCAGTCATAGTTGAAAAGAATATTCTGTAAAGGATTACATAGAGCAGAGTCTGCAGACTTTTTCTGTGTATAGTTGTATGGTAAATGCTTAGGCTTTGTAGGCCACAGACTCTCAGTCTTAGATACTTAATTTTGCCTGTTAGTACAAAAACAGCCTTGGACAGTATTTAAACAAATATGTGTGACTGGTTTCCAGTAAAACTTTAGAGACAGGCAATGGGTTGAATTTGGCAGTGTCTTAAGATAGAATACACACTTAAGGTAAAGTTAATTACTAGTAATATTCAGTGCTGGTTCATATTTGAAATAAATTTCTTTGATACTTTTGATTTGGAAGATGGTCATTGTCTTGCTTTCCTCATTGCTGAGACAAGATACCCAACACCACAAAGTAAAGGAGGAAAGGTTTATTTCAGCTCATGGATTATAGAAGTTGCAGTCTATAGTTAAGTGACTCCAAGGCCAGATGGCATACAAGGACATGGTGCAAGAGAAACAGTTCATGGCAAGGCAGGCAGTTAATAGCAGGCAGCAGCAGAGAGCCTGCCTTTCCCTTTTATCCTATTCAGAGTGCCAGTCTTTTGGGTGGTTGGGGCTTCCGTCTTTAGTAAGCCACATCCAGAGCTGTGCCAGTTCCAGTCAGTGGGCTAATTTAATGCCACAAGCCCTTAATCCCAGTGTCAAATGTGCTAGACGAACCTGCTCTAAAAGCCCCACCTGTGAGCGCATGAGACTTCGGGGCACATCTGGATATAGTCATTTTTATAGATTTGATTAGATTAATTTTTTTTTTTTTGGTACCGTGGATCAAATTCATGACTTTTTGTTTGCCAAGCAGGCACTTATGCTGCTGAACTAAACACCTGGCCCTAGATTAAATTTTGAAAGCTTCAATCCTGGCCAAAAGAAGGCTAGAAAGCATTATTCTTAACACAGTTTTGTTTTTGGTATTTTTATTATTATATATTTGTGATACATAGTGATTGCATTCAGCTTTGATTTAATCCATATACATATAGCATGTTGATTTTTGTGTGTGTGTGTGTGTGTGTGTGTGTTTGAGACAAGATCTCACCTTGAGCTCACTTTGTAGCCCAGGCTGGTCTTGAATTTGAAACAGTCCTCCTGCCTCAGCCTCCTGAGTGCTGGGATTACAGGTGTGTGTCACCACCTTGGTTTATTGATCATTTTTTGATTCCCCTCCATCTCCCCTCTGTTCTTTCCCAAGGTGTAGGCATGTGGTGCATTTTATGCTGTTATGAATTAATGCTGCATAACAATGTTTCAGTCATCAGTGGACCATGTGTATGGTCCTACGAGATTACTTGGTGCTTGTTGCCCTTGTATAAGTATACTTCATATGTTCACATAAGATGAAATCACTGTTAACAATACATTTTTGAAAATGTATATCATTAAATAAAATGCGACTGTATTTTACAATTAAAAACATGTGTAAATCTACTTGCATGGAGAAACTTCTTGTTGTGAAACATCACATTTTCTTGAGATGTCTCAAATACAGACAGTGATTGACTGATGTGAAGCCTCAGACAAGCACCACTTTCTACAGTATATTAAATCCATAAAGTTTAATTTTTCACATGCTTAAAGAGAATACTCAGTGTCATCATTCTGCATTGCAGTGGGTCCTCTGTGTACCCTTAAGGAGGATGCCCACTGGAAAGAGACCCCTGGGCCAGCACCTATTTCCTTGTTTTTAGTTTGATTTAATGTCGGGGCAAGTACACAGATAAGCCTAAAGCTGCACTTTTCCTCTTGTTATCCTTTATCTATTTGTGTTGTTAATGGTATGCTAGTTATCCTATCTTGTATTTTTCATACCTGTTCTCCCATTTCTAGGCTCTGCTTTCTCATCCATATTTCTATGGCATTTTATATCAACTAGTTTTATGAGACAAATTCCATTGTGTTTCAGTGTTCGGATCCACGTTTCTCCTCCCTTGCATTGAGCAACATGGCTTGGTTATATACAGTGTTCCTGGCTTCTGCCTGTGCCACACAGCATGCTTTCACTGAATAATTTAGCAAGTGGTTGAAAATAGAATTGTGGAGTGGGTATGGTGGTGCACGCCTATAATCCCAATAAGTGGGAGGCTGAGGAAGGAAGATCACCAAGAGTTGGAGTCCAGCCTGGGCTACGTAGTCAATTCAAACCTAGCGTCAACTACATAGTGAGACCCAGTCACCAAAAGAAAAAAAAAAAAAAAAAATAGAAAGCAGCCCAAACTTTAGAACTCAGCTTAGCTTTATAATAGTCCATAATACGAGTTATAAATGGAATCACCATTACTTTCCTTTTCATAATTTTGGTCATGATTTTTTTTTGAGACCTAAATCATGTTTTCAATGTTAGTCATATTTTTCCTTGTGAATATTTGACATAAAAAGGACTTGAATGTTAGTGATATTTGCATCATATACATCTTTCAGAATAATTACTATAATTGATGTTGCAGTGTTGATAGATTTGTTAAACATTACTGACTGCCTAGATACTAAAGTAGATATTGACTGACGTACAGTAGTGCGCAGGGTCTCAGAGCTGCGGTTGATGTGCATCTTAGTGTGGTCTCTGCCAGATTAGCTCAGTATTTATTCAGTCTGTGATGGTTCAGAAATTGCTTACTGAGAAGTGATAAAATTCTAGGAAAGGAGATCATATTAAAAAGTCTAAAGGCAAGTTTGTAAGTCAGAATACCAATATGTAGTGGTAGATGTGTATTGCTCAAGAGCTTTAGTCTCTTTGTCTAAACCAGGGAGTCCCTCCTCTTGGGCCTAGTCTGAGAAGAATTTGAAAACCAGTTTGCTTGTTGGGTAAGCATTCAATTAAGTGTCCTTTCAGTATAATCTTCCTGAGTTTCGTGTTTCTGTGACATGGCTGGGCTTTTTACTTTGGGGAGGGAACACTTTTCTCTTAAATGGTTTCAGGACATTCAGACTTAAAGCTCCCTGGCCTATGGGAAGAGCCAGCTGTTCTTGCCCTTCTTGTGTATTTTCTGATGGTAATTTGTCATTGCCAGTTTCCTTACAGAAGCAGAACTGGTTATGATTCCCAGGAGGATTGTTTATTTCATACTCAATAATACATTTTGAAATCTGTCAGTCCACATGAGATTGTAGCTTACTGTTCTCTGTGACTCTTATTAGTGGCTTCACAAAGGGCTAGGGTTTGGTATTTTCCACTTCTCCTGGGTACTTTCTTTGGGCATACTGACTGCAATCCTTTTTTTCTCCAGGGTCCTCTAGCAGCAGGCACCCAAATCAGGCAACTCCGAAGAAAAGTGGTTTGAAGAATGGACAAATGAAGAATAAAGATGATGAGTGCTTTGGAGATGACATTGAGGAGATGCCAGATACAGATTTTGATTTTGAAGGCAACTTGGCCCTTTTTGACAAGGCAGCTGTGTTTGAAGAGATTGATACTTATGAGAGGAGAACCGGTACCCGGTGCCGGGGCATCCCAAATGAAAGGCCTGCTCGGTACCGCCATGATGAGAACATCCTGGAATCGGAGCCCATTGTGTACCGACGGATCACAGTGCCTCACATTGTGAGCAAGGAGTTCTGCACGGGTGAGTGACACCTCGTCTGGTGGCTTCTCTGTTCTTTTCATTACACTTGAGACACAAAGACCTCATTTCTGAGTTAGACTCTTGTCTTAGGGAGAGTGGCTGGGTCATTAGCCCAGAACTGTTGTCTCTTGGGGATGCAGCCCTTTGAGCACTGGAGTACTGTTTCTTTACATGTCCCTTTATACCATGGGCCAGGCAGGATGTGGTTTGCTGTTTGTTTGGTATGCTGTGATTAACAGTTAAAGCACAGGAACTGAATATCTAGATTCAGAGAAGCTTCCCTGATACTACCTGTGTGTTTCACCCAAAATTCACTTTCATTTTACTAATTATTTGCTGATGCAAAATGTAGTTGAAGATGGATGATTGACACCACTGACTAAAATTGGAGTTTCAGAGAATAATATTTGTTTACTGTGCTCTCCTTATCCCTTGACAGCCTGGTTATTGAGAATTTAGTACAATTCTCATGTAAGAAAGTAGTGCCATGCCAAGCGTGGTGGCATGTGCTATAATCCTAGATCTTGGGTGGCTGAGGCAGGGGGATCCCTGGGAGTTTGAGACCAACCTGGGCTACAAAGTGAGTTCAGGTCTGTCTGAACAGCATAGTGAAAACCTGTCTCAAAAAGACTGAAAAAAAAAAGTGGTGCCTTAGCAGTTACATTGACCACTGTTTTCTTACATTGGTGAGTTTAAGCTGCTTCTCTTCAAACAGCCTGTGAAGCAGCTTTGGCAAAAGTGTTCTACCTCATTCCTGCCCCATCCGTCCCCAAAACCACATTATTAGCAGGGCTTCTTGGAACATGGTTTGCAGACCTTAGTATTGAGTGACACTGAGAGCTAATGGAGAAATTATAATCATATAGTAAATTAGAGAGGGGAGTATGTTTTGATTTTGGTTTGAAGGGAAGATGAATATTTTTTCTTTGTTTAGTTTTTTGGAGACAACGTCTTACTGTGTAGTTTAGGCTCGTTTTGAATTCACTGGGCAGCCCAAGTTGGCCTTGAGCTCATAGTGATCCTCCTGCCTCAGCTTTCCAAGAGTGCTAAGATTACAGGTGTGGCCACCACATTCAGAAGGAAGGTAAATTTTTCTTTAAGAGTATAAATAGGATAGGAAGGTAAGTTTTGAATGCTCCAAGTTCCTATAGTAGAGTGAGTTAGGGAGATGATATAATTGAATTTGAAAGGAAATTAAATTGCTTTTGGAAACTAGGATTTTATTGTATTTAGAAGCTTGTTTGTGGGTACTTTCTCTGTGACAAAAAGACTGTCAGACTAAGAAAGACTGTGAGATTATTCCAGGGATGATTTATTTTACCAGAGGACTCTAGTGGGCATGCATTTTTACTAGGGACACTTCCTTATGTGACAATGTAACCGTGGATTCAAATAAGGACAAACAACCTCCCTCAGAATCAGGTTTAGTTAGACAGGTCTAAAGCTTTTCAAAGGCAGTTACTGTCCAAAAGATATACTGTGCCTGGATCCACTCCTGCCCCTCCATCCCTCAGTTGGAAAGGAGGGTGCTCTTGCTAGGAGCCCTGTGTCTGTAGTGTTTGTGGTACTCACAGAGTTGCTACATTATGCAATTGGAATTCCTGAGCTTGGGAAAATTGTATTTTGCTTTGGAGTGAAATGGCTGAAAGAGTGAGAATAACAGAATCAAACATATTTCTCAGATTTAAGAGCCTGAAAAAAAATTTGCTAAAGTAGACAAAAGGGGAGATGAAAACTTTTGTCATTATGCAATCCACCTGCCCATCGTTATCTGTATATCTTGAGTTTTTCATAATAGAAGCATAAGTTTTTTTCACATGAAACTACTAAAATTGCCATCAGTAAAATTACAAACCATATGTGTTGTTGGTCCCTGACCCAGAACCCAGGTGTGGCATCCTGTGATCTAGTGATCAGTGGCATTCTGCTGGCACCTGGTACCTGCTGGCCCTCCAGCTTCATGTCATCAGTATTTTTGTTTGTTTGTTTTTGTCTTTTTGGGATAGGATCTCGCTATGCAGTTCAGGCTGGCCTTGAGCTCACTTTGTAGCCCAGGCAGGTCTTGAACTCTCAATGATCCTCTGCCTCAGCCTCCCAAGTGCTGGGATTATAGGTATGTGTCACCATACCCAGCCTTGTCAGACTTTTCTTATTGACAAGGAGTAGAAATAAAACGCTTTTGCCAGGCAGGGTCTTGCTAGAAGTAGAGCAAGCAGCAGTAAAGTTGTTGGCAGCCTCTCGATGGCTGTTTCTCGTCTTTGCTCCAGCTCTAAGACTCAGGCCTAGAGCAACAACTTTACTGAGCCACCTTTTCCCAGTTGATCTGCTATTCAAATGTTAGGGGCTGAAGAAGGCAGCATGTCTAGGCTGTTTGGAGAATTGGTAATGTAATATTGCTTGGTCACCTAGTGCAGTTTTCTCTTAACTTGAGGCTCCGTGGGGAAAGGCTGTTACCTACCTCCTGACATGTCTCCTTTTTCTTTTCTGAAGGCAGATAAACTGAGGTGAAAAGAATACAATATAAAAGGACAAGGGGAGTTTAACAGCAAAACAGATTGTCTTTCCTCTCTGCCCTTGCTTGCTCAGTGATGGACCACTGAGGACCAGCAGTTTCCAGGAGCAGCTGAGCAGCTCTGTACGCTGTGTAGTTCAGGCTGTGGTGCTAACCACTTTATTTTCTGCTAATCCCCAGAGTAGCAAAACAACATATCTGTCACTCTCTGGTGTGGCTTAGGTGGCCACTCAGGTCATCATATTGACTCCATGCTGCAGGTGGTCAGCAGTGCCTAAGTCATCTTCTGGTAATTGCTTGAGCTCTCCTTGACCAATGCACCAGCTGTGGCAGTGGTGGTGGGGCTGTGTTCTCATTGTATGTTGATTGGGAAAACATACTCAGGAAGAAACTAAATTTAGCTCTTTGTTCAACCTGAATCTTTTTTGTTTTTCTTCGTAAGCCCTTTAGATCCTTTGGCAAGGCTGCAGCCTCCAGGTATTCCTCCAGCCTGTGAATGAGGTGTCTGGCAACCAAACCCTGAATTGACCAGGATCTCTGGATCCAGTCTTGTAACTTTGAAACTTTTTGGAAATGGTCTCCAGCTACATGTGCAGACACAGGCACTTAAGTCAGTTTGACTATAAAGTGCTTGGTATGTGTGAGTGTTGTGTGTTCATTGGTGAGAGGTCTCCAAAGAACATGGCTTAGGAGTGTGCCAACTCTCAGGGAAGAGTCTTGTATTCCAGAGCGAACACTGTGTGTATTATGTGGAGACTGTCCTCATCTGCATATCATTACGCATACTAGATAATGGAAAGATGGCCTAAATACTTGCAGTCCAGCCAGGGGTCCTAAAGATGGCCTAAATACTTGCAGTCCAGTAAGTGCTCAGGTGTGGGGAGGCTGGGGCAGCACAGATATCTTGGAACATAGGCAGGTTTCACTACCAGCCAAGAAGAGAAGTTATTGTTGGGTAGTTTTGTGGTAGCTTGGTCACTAGTGGGTTTGGTCAAGGGTGGAGTTTGTGTGGGGCAGAAGAAGATATTTACAGTAGCTTTGGATCAGAACACAGTGGGCCTCTTACAGCAGTGTTGTCCTTGCCTTCCAGCCATATGGAGCACTTGCAGGGTTTGGATGGGAACATGACCTGACCTATCTCTAAAGAAGACTGGCCTCATGCTAGGATTCAGGGTAGAAGGAAGGGAACCCCACGTAGGTGACATGATTGACACATCAGAGGATTGGATGGAGGGCAGGAAAGGAGCACTGATAGGAGACTTGACAGAAACTCAACAGGCTGTGACAATGGGAAACAGGTGTACAGTGGTTGTGTAAACAAAAAGATTGAGGCAGTGAGCTTGTGTGGCAGGAAGAATGGCAGTGAGGTTCCAGCTGATGTTAAGAGTGTATAACCGTTTTGGTTGGTTGGTTGATTTTTTTTTTTTTTTTTTTGAGACAAGGTCCTGCTATATAGTCTAGGCTGGCCTTGAACTCACTTTGTAGCCTAGGTTGGCCTTGAACTCATGGATTTCTTCCTGCCTCAGTCTCCCGAGTGCTGGGATTATAAACGTGTTACCATGTCCTGCAGTGTGTGGATTCTAAAGGGTCAAGTTGAGGGTCAAAAATCTCTCAAAAGAGATTTTTTTTCGTTTTGCATGCTTTGTAGCTGAGCCCAGAAGAACTGGATAGGTAGTAAAATTGCCATGTTGTGATAGAGATGTGAGGAGGGCTCTGTAGAGTCAGGGACCGGAGAGTTAGGTGGCCACAGGAAGGCTACTGAGCTGGCCTCCTTCTCTGTACAGTGGGGTAAATGAGACCATCAAACGTGTGAATTATGAAGCCACCCTGGGAAGGCTGTTAGAAAGCATCAGCATTTACAGACTGTCCACTGGGCCCTGGACTCCATAGATGCTTGACCCTGGGAGTCCTGAAGAAGTCGTTGTCGTCACATATCTTGGAGGGGCTGGGGATTGCTCAGTAGCAAAGCACCTACCTGGCAGACACAAGGTTGTGAGTTCAATCCCCAATACTAAAATACATCCCTCCCCCACATAAAAAGAGGCCTCGGGTGCTTAACAACCAGAACCCAAACAGCATTCTGAGCCCTTCACTTGTTACTCTTGCTTAATCTTCATAGTAGGTTCTGTGAGGAGGGGTTACTGGGTCCATTGTGGCATCCCCATTTGGCTGAAGGTTGGTGTTCCACTAAACTCTTTTTTACCCTGTACTGAAGATTGAACCAGAGACTATACCCTAAGCTTCATCCCTAGCTTGCTTTTTTTTTTCTGTACTGGAGATGGAACGCACAATCTTGCGCTTGCCTGGTAAGCAGGTGCTTGTGCTGCTGAGCTAAATCCCCAGCCCCCACCTTTACACACACACACACACACACACACACACACACAGAGTATTCTGAGAGAGGGTCTTGTTAAGTTGCCCAGATAGGCTCAAAGTTGTGATCCTCCTGCCTCAGCATCCCAGAGTGCTGGGATTACAGGTGTGTACC